AGGCCTGGCTGTGTTGGGGACACAGTGGGGACACCCCAAGGCCTGGCTGTGTTGGGGGCAGCCAGGGTGTTAGGGTGTGTTAGGGCCTTTCTAAAGCCTGGCTACACTGGGGATGCCCAAAGGCCTGGCTGTGTTGGGACACGGAGGGACAGCCCAGGGCCTGGCCATGCTGGGGGCATGGTGGCCTTAGGGACCAGGCCGTCCCCACAGCCAGCAGGTGCTGCACCCCCAGCTCTGTCCTCTTGTGTGCCCCGGCAGCAGGGTCAGACGTGGCGGCCATTTGGGGATGACGGCAGAGCAGGGCTGGGGACAGTGCCGCCCTCAGAGTCCCATCTCATTCTCCTCTCCCGTGCCACGTGAGAGGGGCCAGGGCACGGGGTGCTGAGCCCCCCATCCGCACTGGGGACGAGGGACACGTGTGCAGTGCCAGGAGAGCCCCCAGGTGGCTGTAAGCCCCCCCTCCCTCTCTGCAGGACACGTTGTGTGCGTGGTGCTGCTGGTGCTGCCCGTGCGCTCCCTGGTCAGGCTCTACCTCCACCTGCTCACCGCACTGCTGCTCTGCGCGGGGCACCAGAGGGCCAGGTGAGCCCTGCATGGAGATGGGGGGATCTGGGGGGGTCTGGGGTGCCGTGAGCGCTTTGGGGTGGGCTGCAGGGCGGCGTAGTGATGCGGGCTGGTGCTCACCTTCTCTCTGTGCAGTGATTATGTCCACCGTGAGCTGGAGCGTGGCTTCCAGGGTGCTGTGTACAGCGACGTGGCAGAGTTTGGCCGCTTCACCACCGCCCTCGCAGGTGAGCTGGAGTGGGGGCAGCTCCCGTTGAGCATCCCAGGCCCCCCCCCCCGGTCCATGTCCCTGCTGGGAAGTGGCTGCAGGGTTTGGGGACGAGGCACTGCAGCGTCACTCTCCAGGCCTGGATGTTCTCCCCTTAGCAAGAAGTGGAAAGCAGCAAAGCTTTCAAGCAGCCGGCATCGGGTGGATCGGGCCTCCCTGGGTCCCCGAGCTGGGTCACTCTCACTGCTGCACATCCCAGGCATAAGCAGGGGGGGATCCAGAGGAGCCCCAGGGCCTTTCCCTCGCCCCGGCCATCCCAGGGTTTGCAGGGGAAGGGCCGAGCCCCCCCCGCTGTCCTGCTCAGGCAGTCTTGGGCTGTTGCTTGTGGCTGAGCACCCCCTCTCCTGCTGTCTCCCCAAGCCCCCTGCCCTCGTTTCGAGCCAATCGTGCCCAGCTGGGAGATGGCCGTGCTGGGGTCCGAGTTGCGCAGGGCCAACCCGGGTGGCCCCTCTTCCTCCACAGGCCAGGTCTGCATCTGCATCCTCTGTGCGTTACTGATGAGGACCCGGCACGCCTGGCTGTTTGCCGCCCCCCTGCTGCCTGTGCTGGCCCGGCTCTGCGGCTTCCCCCTCCATGCCCTGCCCATAGCCAACACTTTCGCCGCCATCCTCACCAGCACGGAGGTTCTGTTCGTGCTCAGCTCCCACATCCTCATCCCCTTCCAGCTGGCTGCCGCTGCCTGCCGTGAGATCTTGCAGGTAAGCGGGGCTGCCAGCTCGGCTGGCCGGATCTCCTGCCCTGCTCAGGGTGGATCACCGAGCTGCCCTGCCCCACAGGCCATGGAGCTGTACCGGCTGCTGGCGCTGGGGGTTTCTCTCTGGAGCCAGCTGTCCATCCCCCTCCTCTTCCTCGTTTTCTGGCTGGTGCTCTTCTCCCTGCGCCTCTCCTCCTTCCTGGCCTCCTCCAGCAGCCCCTTGGCCCAGCAGGGGCTGCTCTTCGTGCTGCTCAGCAGGTAGGAGCCCCCCCAGGCGATGGAGGAGGAGGGCTGGGTGCTGGCGGCCGTGCTCAGCCCTGTCCCTTGCAGCGTGGCCGAGTGCTGCAGCACGCCCTACTCCCTCATCGGCCTCACCTTCACCGTCTCCTACCTGGCCCTGGGGGTGCTCAACCTCTGCAAATTCTACCTGCTGGGCTTTGGTGCCTTCCAGAACGGCAACGTCATGCACAGGTGAGCGCGGCTGGGGACGTGGGGAGGGCAGGGGGCCTCCCCTATGGGATCCCAGCGCAGGATGGCGGCGCGGGCAGCGCTGGGACCCCCGGCCTCACAGCCCACTCGGTGCAGGGGGGTGACGGAGGGAGTGACGCTGCTGCTGCTGGCGCTGCAGACGGGGCTGCTCGACCTGCAGGTCCTCCAGCGGACCTTCCTCCTCAGCATCATCCTCTTCATCGTGGTGACGTCCACGCTGCAGTCCATGATCGAGATCGCCGACCCCATCGTGCTGGCGCTCGGGGCTTCCCGCAGCAGGTACCCATCTCTGGGGGCTCACAGGGGGGGGGGAGCAGCCTCGTGCCCACATCCCAGGGGACCGGAGTTGAGGACAGGCAGCCGTGGGTGCTGCTGTGGGGGGCACCCAGCCGGGAAGCGCCGCTGGCTGAGCTGCACCCCCCAGGAGCCTCTGGAAGCATTTCCGCGGTGTCAGCATGTGCCTCTTCTTGCTGATCTTCCCCTGCTTCATGGCCTACAAGATCGCACATTTCTTCCACCTGGACTTCTGGCTGCTCATCCTGGTCTCCAGTTGCATGCTCACCTCCCTGCAGGTAGGAGGGCTCCCTGCCCCACACCCTGCTCGTGTCCCATCGCTGTCCTGGAGCCGCCTGCCCCATCCTGCAGGCTTTCAGAGGGCAGCTGTGCCCTGCTTGTGCACGACTCGGGTGCTGAGGGAGCTGGTGGGGGTGATTGCTGAGCCCCTCTCGGCCATCTGTCAACTCTCCTGGTTAACTGGTGAGGTCCCAGAGGATTGGAGGCTTGCTGATGTGACTCCCATCTTCAAGAAGGGCCGCAGGGAGGATCTGGGGAACTACAGGCCTGTCAGCCTGACCTCAGTACCAGGGAAGGTGATGGAGCAAATCATCTTGGATGAGATTGCACAGCATGTACGCAGTGTCCAGGGGATCAGACCCAGCCAGCACAGGTTCATGAAAGGCAGGTCGTGTTTGACCAACCTCATCTCCTTCTACGACTGGATGACCAGTCTGATAGATGAGGGAAGGGCTGCTGATGTCTTCCTAGACTTCAGCACAGCCTTTGGCACGGTCCCTCACAGGCTTCTGCTGGGGAAACTGGCTGCCCATGGTCTGAGCAGATATATACACTGCTTTGGGTAAGGAGCTGGCTGAGGGC